GAAGATATTAAACATTCTGGTTATGAAACATGGGACTTTATGTAATTCATGTTGGAAACCTGAGACTGAATCAAATGCGGCTTTATACTCATGTTACATTAATCATACACAATGTATTAGATTGGAATTAACGTGTGAAACAAAATTAAAATACTCATAATTGTGGATTTTAGAGGCCTAATGAAAGACAACAAACGAAGACTTTTGATGAAGCCACTTGCCGCAGTGAGTCATTTTTAGCCTTGTTCAGTGGAAAACAACAGCTGGGGCTCTTTTTGAAAGATGAAAACATTCTCCTGCGCCTTTACAACATCATGTTGGGAAACTGAGCAATTATACATAATAGCACAATTTTTAATGATCAGATCTACTTGTGCAACAGAGCCATTGTGTCGATAGGAGTGATTAATAAATAAAAGCATTCACATAGTTTTTGGTCTGTTTTTGTTTAAACAACTTTTCACAGCTATTTATGTGAGCTGTGTTCACATAAATAGTAGAATTCTCCTCTGAATGTTGAAACAGAATTCATCTTCCTTTTTTGAAATAATTCATGACGGTCTCTGATCATCTGAGAATAACTTATTTTTCATTAGGTCTACATAGCTGACTTTGGAGTGGATACACATATATTTATTTTTAACTGCTTACAATTCATTTGAAATGAGAAGATAAGCATCAACAAACTGTAAATGTCAGATTTAGGTGACAGGTGGATTCTGGTTGGTTGATGATATCAAACAAGAGGAGATTTGTTTGCGTTATGTTTACAGACAATGTTGACTGATGAGGTTAGGTAGCCTAGATATGTGCCGGTATTTTTTTTCTGAAGGACCCGAAGGTCATGTTAAGGGACCTGTAAACAAACAAACAAATAATTTCTGCTTATAAGTTGGGAAAACTAGACAATAATCAAAGAGAAAAACGTTTTACAATATTAAAAGGTCTGGCTTCTTTTAAAATAAAATACAAAAGTATTTCCTTTCATTACTCTACATGCCATGTTTTGATTAAGAAATAATCATGTTTCAACTTTTTCCACATGAAATAATTGAAGATTTTAGTTACCAAATAAAACAAAATATTTCCAGGTACAGCTGGTTTTCTTAAAATCCCATTGAAATGTTTTACTAATTGTGTTCATATTTCTATAAAGTTCTGAAAACCTTTCCAAGGAACTAAAATTAATAAAACTTAAGGAAATTCTAGTTAGACTAGTTAGTCTAAGAGCAAAATATTTGAAATAAATAAAGAAGAGTTGATCCAACAACTCACCAAGACTGGAAGATGTTTACCTTGAATTACCCATTCCTCCAGTGCAGTCATATTGCAATTCATATTCCTCACCTCTGCATTTATTTAGAGAATCGCTTTTGTGTTTGACCTCCAAAATAAAAGTGCCCTTGAATTATGCTACCTTTCTGAGCGAAAAAGAGAGAGGGAGAAAAAAAACACAGCTATCTAGGGGGAAAACAAGCAGGCAACTGAAAGCAGCCTAACCCCTCCCATGTTTCTCATCATAGCCAAGCATATTATCATTGTCTGGGGAGCTGAAGACCAAGGCAGGGTGTCATGCCAAAGCCGGGCTTTTATGAGGGGTTTTATATTCATTTGATGATCTTGCAGGCCTCTGTTTCCTGAGTGGATTATCCATATATGCCAGTGCTGAGCCCTTTTTATATTCAGCACTGCGGCAGAGTCAATAAGGTCCGTTCTGCATACAATATTCAAGATTATACAAGACAGACAGCATAATTCACACTCAATCAGAATATAAATGACTGCAGACGGTGGGAACAACTCATTGGAAAACAAACAGCTGATTCTCAGGACTGGGACCGGATCAGTCACGACCAACCTTTCTACCCGCTCGCAGCCATCACTCTTCAGAAAAAGACGAGGACTGGTGGAGAATTTGGTCTCTCTGCTTAGTGTGACTTCTTTGCTTTTCGGCGTCGAGTCCCAGGGTAACCCCAGATGGTAGCAAAGGTTACCGCTGGGCTTTAATCTTCGTCCCTCGCTTCCTTGAGCGTCATTAATTTGATGTGCAGACTATATCAGTCATGTTGTTAATTGTGTGTTATGAACTGTTTCCTCCTGCAGCTACCATAAAAATCGCTCTCCATGGGATGGATCGGGAGGTGAAAGAGGAGTACTTTGTGGTCATCCAGGCTAAAGACATGGGGGGTCATATGGGCGGCTTGTCGGGGACGACCACAGTGACCATCATGCTTACGGACATAAATGACAATCCACCCAAGTTCTCCAAAAGTAAGGCACTTTACATCCCCCAAAGACCCAAATCCAATAGAAAGATGCTCTGTGTGCGTATTTCTTATAATTAGGCAAAATAAATGCTTCTGAGGCAATGTCATCAAGCAACTCCTTGGAAGGCAATTGTGCTAACTGCTGTAATATATCACTATGTGCCCAGGTGTATGTAATTTTGGTAATTTCATTAGGATTTCTGGAAAACCCAGTGGCTATTCATTTTCCTCTGTAGGCTTATACGAGTTTGGGATCCCTGAAGACCTTCCGGTAGGGAAGACAGGCGGTAAGGTGAAGGCGACCGATCGAGACATCGGCGAGAATGCAAGGTCAACATACAACATCATAGAGGGAGATGACCTGGGCATGTTCGAGATCATCACCGACGCACAAACGCAAGACGGGATTCTTAGGCTAAGAAAGGTAAGAAACAAAAGTTTACAAAACCTTTTTCTCTCTGGACATTTTGGGTAGGTAATGTCTCTCAGTAGTTTAATTTTATTTAAAAAATTGTCAAAAAGTATTTGTTCACCCCATCAAAATTGTTCCAATCACTTTCTTAGCCAAAGGTGTATAAGATCCAGTAGTGCACCAAGGATGCCATATTTCAGCCTATTTAATAGTGACAGACCTGTGGACTTTAGACAGGTTCACATGGATAAGTAACTACATTCAAGCCTTACATCACTAAGTCCAATGGAATTCATCGCAAACAAAAGCAGTAGAAACGTCCTGTTTGGAGTGAAGCCTCGTGTCTCTTGGACTGGGTTTGTCAGTCAACAGGAGACCAGCATTTGTCTGGATTCACTGCATCAAATGTTGAGTTTGGTTCAAAGTGCTGTAAGGTGTTGAACAGTTTTTTTTTTTAGAAGTTGTGTTCAACCCCTTAATTCAACCGATTGGAGAATTGGATGTGATGGAACTTGACCCCAACTCAGTAGAACACTTTTGATTCTCTATCTCTGTTAGAACAGAGATAGAGCATGTTGGATTCATGCTCATCCAACATCAGTGTTTGACCTCCAAACAGTTTTGGAAGAAAGATCAAAATTCCCCATAAAGAACTGAAGTCATTTTTACTGCCGAATGTACTTCATGACATAAAGATGAGACGGTAAACAATACCGGGTTTCATGAGAAAGAGACAATATTTTAGCATTATTTTTAGACTCACCATTTTCCTTAATTTTTCTTGGACCAAGAAAGGATTTGATGACAGCTAGTAGCGAAAATTTTGCTAGGGTGGCGGCAGCAACAAAAGTTGCAAATTTTTCAACTTTCTTGTGTGGCCTCGCCTAAGTGTACATGTTTACGTGTTCAAGGTTGAAATTTCACATTCACGAAAGTCAGCAGTTTTTTGGCTGGAGAAACAAAAATGATTGTTGCTTCATTGTGGAAGTTCCATGGAAAATTGATGGAGATGGAGCGACGTCGCCTGCCATGTGTCGAGCTCTTAATTCAAAATAAGTTTCTCAGACAGAAATACTACAGTGTCAAAAATAAAGCACACTGCTTTATGTCTATAATGTCCATAAAAACAGCTGGTGCTTACTTCAACAGATGGGCTAGTTAGCACTTTGCTAGGCGAATGTCACCTTGACAAGAAATATTGTGACATTTAACATTCCCAGTCATCATGCTACAAGATTATGTAACACAAGCAATTATAAAATTACGCTAAAGAAAAAAAAAGTTTTTCCTTCAGGTCAAGAGCTCAGATGTTATCACTTATCAGTGGCTAACTAAAAAAAATATTTTGTATTATGCACAGAACTGAAGCCTAAAATGATAATACCTTGTTAGATTGTAAGAAAATAGCTGGTCTTTAGTGATATTTCTTGTAATTAAAACACATTTTTGAGTGTTTTAATTCTTATATGCATGCAGGGGTGCAGTATGCATGACAGATGGATACCAGACCTAAGGTCCTGAGTCAGAGCTGGTTCAGTGTCTGCTAAGAGCAGCTGAGCATCACTCAAATCTAGAATGGCATTGTGTTGTCACATACAACAACATTACCCCAAGGACATGTCGTGCGACTTTGTGGAAGTGTGAACAATGAACCGCGTAGGAGGTGGAAGGTATAAGAGTTAAGGCAATCTTCCGGGACAACAGCACAATGCCACTGCAGACAACATGAGCTCTGCAAAACAAATGTGACACTAAAATCATGAGATCTCCAACTGTCGACAAAGCAAATGTCAGATCTCCTTGTTGTTTCTGGAATTATGTTCTGCAGAAACAGAGACTTTTTCGGGGCCGGCTGTGCTTCGTCTTTGTTGGCCTCTGAGTTTGATGCCTACATACAGTGCCTGTTTATAACCCCAGCAGAGCTGTATGGGCTTCCAATTGCAGTTTGCCGTGAGGCAAACATTTCATGCGTTTGCTTTGGTGGTCTAGTGGAATGAGACTAAAACTGAACCTTATGATCTGTGTGTGCTGTGTCTGGTAGACAAAACAGTGCATCACCCCGATCAGATCAATCCCACTGTGGCCGATGGTAGTGGCAGCAGGCTAAAGGGCATCAGCAGCAAAGACCATTTAGATGAATCACATTCATGTGTTAGAATGTCCTAGTCAAAGTCTTGATGTAAGTCTTTGCTAAACCTGGTGCTCTCTGTCTGTTGCAGGTGTGTCAACGGTTTGTTTACAACTTTGTTCATATTTCCCTAATATTGAAAAAACACAGTTTAAGAAACGCAATTCACAAGTGGATAAGTTTTGTTCACGTGATTAGTCATTGGAAAACACGCCGTCATCATCCTCCAACTACTTCCTGTCGTCTTCTTTGTGTTTTGCTCCAGCGGTAACATCTGGTTGTTGATCATGTGACCTGTGTGATACAAAAAAAGCACATCCATTGAAACTTTATGAAATAAACAAAAAAAAACATCACCTCCTCCTCGCGCCAATACGTTTAATCAAAGGATAAGTTATAATTTTAAATTGTCCCATTTTAGTTTAGCAAATTTCTCCTGGAAATATCAAGCTGCGCAGTTATATTACTGTATATTACTTTAACAGTAAAAATGTGAACATATTTGAGGGGTCTTAATACCTACTGCAAAGCCAATGCCTTCTGGCTAAACCCAAAAGGAAAGGTATAGATTTTTGTTTTAGCCCTGGACAGGAGGAAATATTCTCCTGTAGCTGTAACTGTAACTTCCATCTAAATCAGCATTTAAATTATTTAAGGTATTTATGGGGAGATGAAATCTTATTGATCTAAGAGCAGAGATGGTCGAAAGAGGGGCAGAAATCCTTTTCTGTTTGAGTTCTAAGCTTTTTATCTGTTAGCCCCCAGGCCTGTCGGGGGATGTTAGAGGGATGCTGAGCTTTCACCCCTGCAGCCAGCGGTGAACTTTCAAGTCACTAAATGGCCTGCGTGTACATGCTGATTTGATGCTAACGCTTGACTGAGGCCAAAGAAAGACACAGTGGGGTTGTCGGGTAACATGCATGGGGGATGTTTGCTCAGTGGCGACAAGAATGTGTCTCTGTCACTGCATGACTCACTTCCTCTTAAAAAACAAGAAGTTAATTCATATTGTTAAGTAGATAAGTCAGTAAATCCTTATTGGTATAGCATTTTAAAGACATAGACCATAAAATGCAGTGCCTTAAAAAGCTAAAAACATTAAATCATAAGAGCGTTGAATAATTAAATTAAAAGCAATTGTAAAACATGAGATTTTAGTTGTTTTTTTAAAAGGTCCAATAGAGTCCACCGGCTGTAAACTAGAGGACAGAACGTTCCGGAGTCCTGGAGCTACTGCTGAAAACCGTCTCAGTCTTCAGCACGACCAAACACCTTGATCACATGATCCCTGCTGGGGATGAGATACATTTTGTAAGTGATAAACACATGAGCCAAATCAGAGACTGAACATGCTGAAAGTAAAACCAGAGTCAAAATTACCCAAACATTCCTTATAGGAGTCTTGGCATAAAAGGTCAAAGTACAAAGAGTTTTCATTATTAAAGATATTTTTCTGGAAGGCATATAGACCTTCAGTTTTGTCTTCATTTAGTTTGAGAACATTTTTAGTCTTTATACAGTCTAAAGCAGTTTGACACCCCTGTTTTAGACTTTAAATATTCCTATTTAAAATACCTACAAAAAAATAACATTGCAACATTGCACCCCCGCTGTATACAGTAAGCATGTTTGTACCTCATAAGCCATAAAGTAGACATATAATTGAATATCATCTGCATATCAGTGATATGAGACATTTTAAAAAGTACTCTCTAGTTTCTAGTTTACATGCAATGTTTCTAGTTTACATGCTCTCTCTTTAAAAAGAGAGAGCATGTAAATCACTCTCTGATTTACATAGACACAAAGTTACATAGACACAAAATTAAATACAGCAGAAAACTCTTTTCATGTAAAAAGAGAAAACTCTTTTTACATGAAACAGGGCACCAAAACAGAACTCTGAGGTACACCAAAGTGATGGTGGCTTAAGGAAAGCCTATAATTGGAAGCAGCAACAAATTAACGAAAGAAAAATATGAAGAAAACAGTAAAGAAGATCCTGATCCATCGGGCCAATGCCTCAACCTGTCAAGAAAGATCAGATGGTCAACTGTGTGAAAGGTCAAGGTGAGATTTAACATCAGAGTGTTTACTTTAGACAGTGAACTGTTTGCACTGACAATTTAGTTTTTACTACAGAATCTCATAACTATATTGTCTGCCTTTTGAATTTGATAATTAGGTCTTTAAATATAATTAGTATATTTTTTATGCATTGAATAATAAGTTTGGTTGTGTTGATGCAAACTGCATGGAGTGAGTATCATTTTGGACATTTTAATTTAAGTTCCACATACTCCTATTTAAAATACATTAACAAAATAAATAACATTACAATTTGAGTAAAAAACTTTTTCAAAATAATTTTCTTTCTCTTACTTTATAGTTTCTAAATACTATTAACTATCAATTCACCAAGTTTCATATTTGGAAAGGTAAAAATACAAACTTTGATCAGCGTTAAGTTGTTGACACTCCTGGACTCAGAAGAAGAAACGCTGTCCAGAAAAGCACAATTTTTAAAATAAAATTATGATAAAAATGGGTTCTTTTTACAGTCTTTAAAAATAAAATTGCTAAGGGAATCCCTTTTATTTTGCTACTTCTTTTCACCAGAAAGATAGGTAAAATGATTAATAAAATTCATGGAAAAGAAATAACAGCAAATAAATTTTGCTTGTCTTTTTCACACCTTAACTCTGTTATTCCCCCCCAGACTTTTGTCTCTCATTCCACCAATGAATGAAGGGGTTAGAAATTCAGAAAATATATTTAATATTTGTGCTTTGTATCCCAGTTACTTCATGCAGTTAAATGCCTATTTAGCCGACACAGTGTGAGGGTCTACGGGAACACAGCTCTAACAGCAGCACGTCTGATAACTGTACTTTGCTCCTTTTGCACTTGTGAATCTCTTAATAATCAGCAGCAGCAGTGTGACAACAGCACCATGCATGCTAATAACAATATAACCTCCCGGGATTATTCAGCCCTGCCAGTGTTTGTTTAATGAATTAATAATTTTCACAAGGTCAAAATAGGACTTTCTATTCTGACTCGGCGAACAGGATATTATGCGGCGCAGCGCAAAACGCAGCTTGTATAGATGCTTTATTTGATTTGGTAATTGATAATGAAAATTATTTTTAATTAAAGTAGCTGGGGTAATTAAAGAAGCTGTTTACCACCGTGTTTTCTTTTTAAGTGAATATGGTATAATTAAATTTGCCAGCAACAGTGAAAGCACCGCCCTCCCTCTCTTCGTCTCCCTTTCAGCTCTCTGCTCGGCCGTCGAAACCAACGCAATGACTTGTTTCCACACGCCGTCATGTGAAAACATTGGCGCGCGGCTTTCATACCGGGGAAGCAATGCATGGCATGGTGCTTTCACTGAATCAATTTGTTTTTTTGATGACAAAGGGTTCACACAAACGCTCCATTACTGCTCAATGAAATTCTTAAAAACACTAAATGTATAATCGTTGAGTCCACAGCAGAGGATGTCTGCTTAGAGTGAAGCACGGGGGTCTCTGCGTCTAAGGGGGGGTCCACTATGACCTAAAATAAACTGGATCAGGATGGTGTTCTAGTTGTCGCACAGTTCAGTACAAAAATGCTTCATTTATTCCAAAATAAACATAATCTCATTCAAGTATCTTCAAAGAATCATTGTGGGCAGTAATGGCAGGAAGGATCAAAAAGGCCTACAAAGACTCTGAGGACTGTTGCTTTATGACGTAGCAGTCTCATGACATGCTAACAGCTCAGTATATTTCACAGTATCATGTCCTGCAGTCGTTGACAAGTGCTGCTATTCCACCTCATTCGCTTTCACCGCTCCTTTTTGACTCTGTCTGACCATATGGATAGAAAGTGAAGCAGAGAGAGACGGTCGTGGAAATGATTCAAGCCCGTTATGATCGATGGTGGGATGGTTTGAACTTCTGTCTTTGTTCCTGTTCTGCATCCATGAAGCCTTCTTTTATACCATGGGTACTGCAACTGCAGGTTTTTTGGCCTACACCCGATTACTGACCTATGAAAAGCCCAATCTGCCAATTAAGATTTTGGCCTGTTTTTGCCTGAAAAGTGGCTAAAGATAATAAAACAGACGGCTACAGTCAGATCTGTCTGGGCAGTACAAGAGAGAACAGCGGCTGATTTTCATACCTTTTCAGAGATACATCAGACCTGACACACATGTAAATATCGGCCAATCGAAACAATTATCCATTTATTGATGCACCCCTATAGTTTTGGAGGACAAAGTATGCATTCATATAAACAGATGCACAGTTCTGGAAAAAATTAAGACCACCTAAAATGATCAGTTCTCTGACTTGACTTTTTTATATGTATGTGAATAAAATGAACATTGTTCATTCTATGAACTACTGACAACATGTCTCTGAAAATCCAAGCAGAAAATGAGAAATGGTCAAATAGGGAAAAAGACGCAGTGCTTTCAGACCTCAAATAAAGCAAAGAAAACAAGTTCATATTCATTTAGAGACAACAGTACTAATGTTTGACCTCAGGAAGAGTTCAGATATCAATATTTGGTGGAATAATCATGAGGTTTTCAGTGCAGCTGTGTCTTAATTTTTTATTTTTTTTCGGAGCTATGCATTTATTGACTTGTATGTACATGTGTATATATCTATACTGGAGCTAGCTATCACAAAAGCTAGCGAGCAAGAATCATGATGATCTTAAAGTCTTAAAAACTCTTTAAATTGAGTCAGTGAGTGCTGCAGAAACCTTGACATTGTAACACAAGGTGTTTGTATAGACAATGAAAGCTATAAAACCTTTCTATCAAGTGTCATCCGTGCACATGCTTATGCTTTCATCCTTGGATTCTACTTCTCGCTAGTTCTTTTTTTTTCTCTGCACACACTGTAGGATTTGAGGGAAAGAAAGGGAAGGACGGAAGAGGAGGCTGGGTGAGAGAAAAGGAGTGTGATGAGGTGCGGTGCAGGGGGAGGTTAATAATGAGGGAGTTGCAAAGAGCTCCTCCGACCGTGGAGGAGTGGGGCTTGGAGAGGCTTCAGGGGCTTTGGTCTCTTTATGGTGGCCTTGATGCCAGAGCTGAAGCAGCGTACAAGTCAAAGCCCCGGGTCACTGTCAGCTTCCCCCGACCGCAGCTCCACATCCGCCCACCTGCCCCCCTCGTGCCCCCCTCCTCTGTTGCAGCAGCGACCTGGGCCCCCCACCCTCCACCTGGGGGACGATCCCAACTGCTCCAGCATTTCTCGTTTTGTTCATTTCTCCTCTTCCCTCCCGCCCCCGCTCCCCTCAAGTGGCAAGGCCCGTTTTGATTTCCCTATAAATCCTGGTTATGGAGTGTGGAAGTGACTTGATCCCATTATTCTACTAGTATTAAACTGACCAGAGGTGATTCAGAATGAAATTGTAACAGTCCTTGGATATGCCAGGGGGCTAAAAATCTCTCCTCTCCCTTTTTAAATATTAATGACGAGCCATCAGTAAAGAAAATACTGAACATCAGGAATTAAACAGATGTGTCATACGCGCTTACATCGCCAGTGCAGTAAATTATTTTCTCTTTGGTAAATTACACTGTTTCTTGATGGTATAAAATTAGCAGATGTCTGTGTGTGTGTGTGTGTTTGTGCGTGTGTGTGTGTGTGGGTGTGTGTGTGCGTGTGTGTGTGTGGGGGGGAGGGGTGTGTGCGTGTGTGGGTGTGTGTGTGGGGTTGTGGGGGTGTGTGTGCGTGTGTGGTGTGTGTGTGTGTGTGTGCGTGTGTGTGGGTTGGTTGACAGCAGTATGAAACTGTTAATTTGCTGTCGCTGTAATCGTGAGCAGAGATTTTCTCCCTTCAAGTTGTTCAGACTTGCTGTTTATTTTCAGAGTTTGCAGCTTTGAAAACGGATGTTACCGTCTGATTAAAGTCAAAACTGGAGCTGCACAATTCTCCTTATTACAGAGAATGTGTTGTCCAATTCTTCTAAAAAAAATACATGCAGCAGCTGGCATTGGACCAGCATTTTCAACTTTTAACAATATTGTAAGGCACGTGTGTCAAACTCAAGGCTCAGGGGTTAATAAACAAAGAAAAAAGGAAAGGAAAGCGAATTACATCAAAAAGTCCAAACAACAGTTTAAGACGGTACCATCACATTTACACACCGACTCTGTTCCGTAACAAGAAAAGACAACGTCTTCTACTTTTTACCGTGGGACTGGTGTGAGTTGAGGACGAGCGTCTCTTTGACCCTCTGTCTCTGTTGTCCTTCCAGCCTCTGGACTATGAGAGCAAGAAAGCCTACACACTGAAGGTGGAGGCGACCAACGTCCGCTCGGAGCCCGGCAGCGGCGGGCCCTTCAAGGACACGGCAACGGTCAAGATAGTGGTGGAGGACGCCGATGAGCCTCCGGTCTTCTCCAAGCCCATGTACCTACTGGAAGTGAAGGAGAACGCCCCCGTCGCCACGGTGATCGGGAGGGTAGCCGCCAGGGATCCGGACTCCTCCGGGAGCCTCGTCAGGTAAGGCCGCCGCCAACCGCGAGCTAATGACCGAACCCTTAGCTTTCACCGCCGGACCGTCTGTCACTGCCTCGCCACAGCAACCTGTGAAAGAAACAGCTCTTTATTATCGCTTTTAGTAAAAACCGGAGGAAGGTCTTTCTCGGGCTATAATGACTTGTTTTAATAAAGGGGTTGACACCGAGGCATCCAATTAAATTTCTTGGCGTCCCTGACCTTTGTAAAACGTGGAAGTGTCTCAGGCGGTGAGGAAGCGACCTCGGTGATTGCGGTCATTTCCAGGGATGACTGAGGGAAGACAAAAAAATCCCCCCACCCCAAAAAAAAAAAGAAGTTGTCGATTATGAGTTAAAGAAAACCCAACTTTCTCTTTCAGTGTGCCGGAACAGAGTACCTTCTCCTCTTGTGAGACTTATTCTTGGAAATACCACAAGGGCACCTTGAGGACAGGTTATACAGGCAATTTCTCTCCCTCCACTTTGGCATTTCATTAATTCTCCAGTGACTTGCTGACCGCATTCCCGGTACAACACTCAACAGGTTGTGTGTAATTGCCTGGCGAGCAGAGAGCAGGCTGGGTTTCAGAGATTGGTTGATGCTATAGATCAGGACCGATCCATTCTACTTTTGCTTCTTTTTTTTCTGTTTTTTTTTTTCCTCCTTTTTCGTATTTCTGGCAGCAATCTCATGTTTAGAGATGAAATTGCCACAAGGAGGAAACCGGGCCTGAGGTTGTCGGTCATAGATGTTTGTACTATAGCTGTATCTAAAGGAGGAAAAAAAAAAATATTTACAAAGAATTAACTTTATATCAAATTTGGTGCTTCACAAAGTTAAATAAACAAGCTCTGTCTTTTGTTTTTTTCCCCATTCCTATTGAAGGAGGAAGTGATTAAATAATGAATGAGTGTGACTGCAGATGGCATCACCCTGTTGCTGAGAAGTTTTTGTGCATTTGCAGCCATAAATCTGCCCGCATACAAACAGCTTAAACTGGGTCATGTGCTGCCATCCTTATAGACAAGGTTGCCTGAATAGAATTAAGGCTTTAAAATACTGAAACGTTTGATTTTTAGTCCTGACTCTGTCAACATTTTTTTCAACTTATTTTCAAAGTGGTATGAAAAACTATTTTATTTGTTAATGTTTATTAATCTGAAAAGGGTTACAAATACATTTTATGGCTGATAACCGATTACCAATCTGACCTGAAATGATCCAAAACCAAAACACCTTCAAAAATCTCAAACTTTCTTAAATGTTCATTTTTTAAATTGTGCATAATCTTTCTAACTTGGAGTGGAGGACTGGAAAGCCTGCAGGTGTCTTTCATCCTTGGAATTGCGTTAAAACACACGCAAGCCGCTTTGGCGTAACTTAAAAGGTTGCTCATGCTCACAACCGGTCAGTTAATCCGATGTTCGCTTTGCAAGATCTCCCTGTTAAGATCCCACTTTTAATTCCACGTCTTTCACTGACATATTTTCCATTTTGGCTCGCAACTCGTTTTGTGTACAGAAACATAGTTTGGCACGCTTAAACATAATTTAAAAGTGTGCGTTTTGTCTGCTACCTCCACCCTCAGGCGCAGGATTTCGAGAGCATCCATCACAGATGTTGAGTGCTTTCTTTTGGGGCTGTCGGCGGGGGGTGAGATGAAACAAAGTATTGTCGTGCAGAGGCCCTGAGATGATGCATCAGCCTAAACCTCAAAGACAGTTTGATTGTACTTCCAGTCACGCTTTGTATTAGCCTGTAAGTCTGAGCGCCGCGCTGATAAAATGATTACAGGGCCGGGAGATTTTAATCCCACAAAATATACTGGCTGAAAGAGAGCCGTACCCTCAGCGAAGCCTTTTTATAACATCACAGGTGTTTCTTAATAATGAACAGCCTGAGGGCGGGGGTGGGGGGGAAGCCCTCGCCAGATAACAAGCCAAAACTCAAACTTTGGCTCTGCCATTATTAGATATGACTCTGTAAGAAGGATAAATACGCCTGTTCGGTTATGATGTTTTTGTCTTCACGGGCTTTTATGTATTCAGATCTAATATTTTTTCCATAATACCTCAGAAAAAAAATTCAACGAAATACGAGAAACAACAGTGAATATTTAACATGTGCTCTGACGCCAGGCTCGCCTTTACAATTGAATTACATTACATTCAGAGTAAATAACAGTACGCCTACATTTGTTCGGATTTCTTCTGTTCGTCAGATTTATGCAAATATGCTCAGTTTCCAAAAGTGACAATCAAACAGGTTATCTTTTCTGGAGAAAAATAAAGATTGATCTACAAGACATGTCGAAATTTATTTGGAACCATTCAACCTTTTCACGTTTTCATGTCAGTAGTGGCGTATTTTACAGGACAAACACAAAGTGAAGACAACAAAATTGATAATTTTGTATGTTATATCAACTACAGCAGTAGAGTAGCTTCGACTGGTTGGTTTTGTTTCTTCACTATTTAGCTTAGCATTTTAGCATTAGCATTTTTCCATCTGCGTCCGAAAAGCTGATGTAGATAGAGGTTTAGTACTTCACCGTTGATATCGGAGCTTTGCCCATGTTTCTCAGTTGCTCTCAAACATCAGTGCCGTAGCTTTAGCTTGTAGCATTACGGCAGCTAGCATGTGGCTTCCTTTTGCATATCTTGAACTCTAGCTTCATTTTGCTTTTTTAAAGCAAAAATGAACTTCACTGAGCCGAGACAAGCAGCTTTATTGTCTATTGCTGTTCACAGATGTCACTTGTCCGTCAGATATACGGTTGTACCAGAAACATCCAGAGCTGGAACCTTTACATACAAAGGGTAAAATTTTACCCATTGAAATCAATGTAATTAATCAATTAAAATTAATTCAAAAAATGTAAGAAACGATGCATCATTTTCATTCCTCTTCACAATTATAAACAACTTTACGTTGATCTATCATATAAAATCCCAGTAAAATATATGGAAGCTTAAATTTATAATATGGAAAAAAAAAAGTAGATACTTTTGCACTCGATAAAAACTTTCAAATAATAAAAAAGGCAAACAATTTACTATTTTTTTTAAATCTATACTAGATTTTTAAGACAACATATTTTTTTGTTTCCTGGAAAGTGGCAGTAGTTTGTAAAGACTGAGCTGTTCATGAAGAGCACCAGGAAAATATACCAGCGTTACTGTTGATGCCATCCAGCTATCATTGGCGAAAGCTTTTGATTCGACCCCCTCTGATTAGAATCGCTCGCTGTCTTAATCCCCCCCACCCCTCCTCCAGGACCAGGCCAAGCCAGACTGAGTCTAAAACACTCGCGGGCGAGTGCTCTGGTGGGCTGCCATGTCCTCATTCCACTCAGGAGACAAACAACCCCTCAGCTGTACTTAATGCATCCAACCAATAACCTTTCAGGTGCTCTCATGAAATACTCCCCCAGAGCTGTTTCTCCCCAGAGCCTGTGCTCTTTCGTTTTCTACCTGACTGATAACAGATAAAAAGCAATGTGACATCTGGCAGTCTCTAGGACTGTCTGAAAGAAACTTCTGGGTTTTAAAGAAGAAACTGTGAGTTTAATTTCTACCAAAACTATCAAACATGCTGGTATTTTTTTCCCCTATGTTTTTTTTATTAATTTCTCCCCCGTGACCCTCATCCCTTCCCTGTTTCTGCGTGAATTTCTAGGAACATAATAGCTTGTTTCTAGGCTATGTTAGTGGACAGCTGACATGCAGCATATGGTATTACAAGCACTCAAGTACATGAGCCAGGTTTGGAAAAAAAAAAAAAAAAGACATTCAATGTTGCCTCTTTTTTATTCTCTCCCACTGGTCCATTCCTTTTTGGTAATATTTTTTCTTATATTTTTTTTGATGTTCTATATAGATTAGTTCGGACCCTCCCTCTGGCTTGGGAACCAACCTGAATAAAATACGGTCCACAAACATAAATGGTCAGCATTCAGGGTACGGCTAAATTAGTCCTACATCTGTGATCCTCCCGGAGGAATTACTGGCCTAATAACAAGCAGGAATGTCACGGGCATTTTGTTCTCTATGGACAAAAAATACAAATAAATAAAAAAAAATAGGCTTGATCTTTTCCCCCTCCTCCTCCAAATTTGTATGACCACTGGGATGCAAACAATAATATATATTCATAGTCCAAAGACCTAAAACTCACAGGCACACAGATGATCTCCAAGCTGCTTCAACTTGCAGCGCAAACGCAAATATAGAGTAGAGCACTTCTGTGTTATGTATCCAATAGCATATTTAAACAACTGATGAAGTTATTTAACTGATAAAGATGAATAACTACTTAGTTCACTAGTTAATAACCGACAGCGACTGACTTATCGGCTGCTTAGCATTTGTCTGCGTTCATTTGTGCCTCAGTAGATTGCAGCATTGCGAGATGCAAAACTAGTTACCACTAACATGTGGTCGTCCCATCTGTGTCTGTAAAACTAATATTTAAACAGACAACGTTAGCTTATGTCGACCGGGAGGTTTACTACTTCACTGTTTATGGTGCAGGAGCTTTGGCCACGTTTTTAAAGTTACTTTCAAACATCAGTTCTGTTGTGTTAGGTTGCAGCATTACAGCAGCTAGCATGTGGTTTAACCCCACAGTCCCTTTTTTTCTGCTCAGCTACCTCATAGGCAAAGTTCTTCAAAGGCTTTTGTATCTGTAAAGCTAATATTTAAAGAGATAATGTTTGCTTATGTCAACCTGGCAGGTTTACTCATAAAGCTGCCGTAGTTCTGTAGGTTGCAATAAGTTTGTCTCATAATCAATCAGAGACCGGAGTCCCATAGCCATACACGACACCTCCATCAAACAGGTTACATCTTTTAAATATTTAGGTTTGTACATAGATGGTGATCTGAGTTGGCGCACAAATGTGACAACTGTATGCGCTAAGATTCCCTATTCCCTATTCTCTATTTTCTTAGACAACTTCGATTGTGTGGCGTTTCTAAAAAAATGATGTTGATCTTTTATAGGGAACCGTCGAGTCTATTCTGAGATATGGCATTACTGGATGGTTTGGAAATTTTACCGTTGAATTCAAAACTCAAATTCAAAGTCTGGTGAAGATGCAAAATAAGATCATCAAAACTCCAGAGCTTTCTTCTCCACAGCACTTGTCTGAGCGGGCTACCATGAGGGAGAAGGTTCAGGGTCCCCCTGTACAAATAAAACCATCTGAAACATTCATTTTTACCACTTTCCATTAACCTGATAAAAGGTAGAGGAGCGAGTAACGGGAGGTCCAGATGGTGATCCAGAGTAACATGTAGAGGATGTATTGTATGTGAATGGAGATGGTTAAGGAGATGTACTGCCAATCTGACATTTGTGCTTTTATGTGTTTTTTGTTTTTATGTATTTATTTATGGTTATTGGCCTTTCGGCTTTTATTGTTGCATTGCAGTTTTGCCCCTGCTT